TGGCTAAGAACAGGAACAGGCTGCCCAGGGTGGAGTCAGCATCAATGGTAGTGCTCAAAAAACAAGCAGACATTGCACTTTGGCATTGAGGCATTGGGTCAAAGGCTGGACTTGATGATCTTGGAGGTCATTTCCAACTGAAATGATTCTCTGGTTCTGTGCTCTGGTGGCACTCAGGTGTGATGCTGCCATGTGGAAGAGCAGCATGCACGCAGCTCCTCTGAGAATGCTGTGCCTGTGCCCAGAGGCAGCTGCCCAGCAGGGAGGGTTTGTGCTGCATGTCATGCTGCCTGCAGAGCCCAGCAGGGAGGGTTTGTGCTGCATGTCATGCTGCCTGCACAGCCCACAGCCCAGCAGGGAGGGTTTGAGCTGCATGTCATGCTGCCTGCACAGCCCACAGCCCAGCAGGGAGGGTTTGAGCTGCATGTCATGCTGCCTGCACAGCCCACAGCCCAGCAGGAAGGGTTTGTGCTGCATGTCATGCTGCCTGCACAGCCCAGCAGGGAGGGTTTGTGCTGCATGTCATGCTGCCTGCAGAGCCCACAGCCCAGCAGGGAGGGTTTGTGCTGCATGTCATGCTGCCTGCACAGCCCACAGCCCAGCAGGAAGGGTTTGAGCTGCATGTCATGCTGCCTGCACAGCAGGATGTGTGCTGGGTGAGATCACACACCCAGCTCTGGGCACAGAGACGTCTCCTAAGCCACAGCCCTCCTGCCTGTGGAGCCCTGTGGGGAGGGAGGGTGGTTGCACACCAGATTTTGGTGCCTGACCTCCTGGCTGGATGCTCTAAGCAGCAAAGCCAGCGTGGTTTGCAGCTGGGGCAGGGTCAGGCTGGCTCCTCTGAGCACTGCCAGGGTGCCCGTGGTGGTTGGCACAGCCTGGGGGCTCAGCACAGAATCTCAGAATTGTTTAGGTTGGAGAAGAACTTTAAGGTCATTGAGTCCAACCCTTGACCCAGCACTGCCAAGGCCACCACTAAAGCATGTCCCCAAGTGCCACATCTTCATGTCTTTTAAACCCCTCCAGGGATGGGGACTCCACCACTTCTTCCACATTCCTTCGCTTCTTTCAGTGAAGAAATTTTTCCTAATATCTGATCTGAAACTCCCCTGGCACAACTTCAGACCATTTCCTCTCGTCCTGGCTTTTCTTTGGAGGCATCCATTGCTCCCAATGCTCTGCAGAAGGAATTCCAGAGTTTTTTGGTGTTTCCCAGCAAAGCTCAAGGCCTTGGAAAAAAAATCAGTATTGCAAAACTTCTCCAAATTTCTCCAGGATCGAGTTTTTTTCTGCCCGATGGAGAGGCTCAGTCCTGGGCAAGACAAAACTTAGCCCTGACTCATTGCTGGGGCAAAAAAAGGCCAAGGAGACAAAATTTGAGGTAGCTGTGTCAACCTGGGTGCCTGAGAGCTCCCTCCAATCCAAGGAGCTTTTGGGAGAGCATGGAGAGGGCTTTTGTCACCGTGATATTTTCTGAAAAATCCTCTTTGCCAGGATTTCTTCTCCTGAGAAGCTGAGAAGCCTCAGAAAAGAATGAAAACAATAATTATCTGATTCCTTCTCCTGTGTTTGCTGCTTTGGAATGTGGTTTGGACATTGTTTACCAACAGGTGCATGTTTGATTGGTTCCATGTGAATTGTTTTTAATTAATGACCAATCACAGCCAGCTGTGTCAGACTCTGAGGAATCAGTCACAAGGTTTTATTATTCATTCTTGTTAAGCCTTCTGTCTGTATCCTTCTCTTTAGCATAGTTTTAGCATAGCATGTAATATAATGTAATATAATGTAATATAATATAATGTAATATAATATAATATAATATAATATAATATAATATAATATAATATAATATAATATAATATAATATAATATAATATAATATAATATAATATAATATAATATAATATAATATAATATAATATCAGCCTTCTGAGAACATGGAGTCAGATTCTCATCTCTCATCTTGTCCTGGGGACCCTCACAAACACCCCTGGCTTTGCCATCTGAACAAGTTTCCTTCACTTATTGACTTCCAAATGAGCCATTCAGCTCTTAGGGATTTGGGGGTTTTATATTAAGTGAACTAAATAATTTTGCTGTGTGAGATCCCTGTTGCAACAACACTGAGATCTGTTGTACTTGACAGAGAAAAGATTCTGAGCTTGATGTCATCACTGGGGGTATTTTTTGGAGTGTTTCATATCTGGTTTTCATTTATTAACTAGATCAGAAAGTGTAAATAGCAATAATGATTCTCTCTTAAAATTGTGATGCAGCCCCCTTTCATGCTCATGTGCATCTTAAAGGCTAAATGAGAAGTTGAACTTTAGTAGAAAAACACAAATGCCTAAGGGAGGAATGTTAAATGCTTCTGTCATCTTTGTCATCTTGCAAACATTTAAAGCATGGGTGGGTTTTGCTTCATGTGGAAGAACCATTGGTGTATGAAGTCAAATTAACCTTTCTCATAGCAAGGTAGTGGAGGAGCAAAACACAAAACTTATATGAATTTATTTTTGACTTGGTCTAATATGTGTTCCATTTAAATGAATGCTGGAATAACAAATATTTGTTTATAATCCCACAGAAGCTGCAGATCTCACCCTGAGTGCACTCATTATAGGTATATTGATATAAACAAGTACTTGTTATTTCAGCAAATTATATATACTTTAATATCCACAAATTATATTAAACAATAATCAGAATAATATATTAAAACCCCCAATTTCTTGTTTATATGAGCCAAAAATTTAACACATTGGTATTTTTGGCTTAATGAAGTCCAGAGAAATAGGGGCAAAAAGTACTAATGCTACCAGGAGGTAGTTCTTTTATTCCTAGACGGTTTTTTTGGGGGGATTTCCTTGTAGTTTCTGGGACACATCTGATTTATTCAGTGACAGAAAAAGACATTTAGAAATTCCCACTTAACAGATCTGACCTGAAAGCTTAGAAGCCCTGCTGTTAATCCATTCCTCCTGCCAGGACAACATATTTAATAAAGAGCTGCAGTGCATGGAGCTGTTCTGGGTGAGGATAAATCTGAAGGAATTTAAACAGCATCCATGGATAAAGTATCTCATTTTTTTTTGCACAGATTTCAAGTTGAATAATTTAATAGAGGTTTTTCAGCCTTTCTCCATTACTGTGCCTTAGCCAGCAGTTTCTAACTGAAAAATTGTTTTTTATATGTTAGGAGCTTTAAACTCAGAGATAACTTTACTCTTCTGTCAATAATTTTCTTTCAGTTGAATGTTTTCAACTGCACCTGATTTGATTTACTTTTCTGCATCATAAAATCACAGACCATCCACATAAAAATGACTGAGCAGTTTAAAAGAAAAAAAAAATTGAGCACTTCCAATATTAGATTAACAACTGAGCTATTCTGTAAAGACTGGCATATTTTTAAAAATGCATTTACAGAACTGTAGCAAAACCATGAAGACTATTTACTGCAATGCCTGAAGTACCTGTATTTATGCTCTGTATCTATGTCCTTTGGATATTTTAATGTTTTCAAGCTCTGCACTTTTCATTGAGAGAATGACTGGATTATAGTTTTATAATATAGAATATGAATTCTATATATTTGTTGTATATAGTCTATATATTCTATATTTTATTTATATATAGATATATATAAAACAATATATATGTTATATATATGTTATATATATAACATATATATATGTTATATCTGTTCTATAGGATGTTCTATATCAAATATATAATATATACTATAAAATATCAAAGAAATAATAGTAATAATAAACCAGACTATTGCAACATATAATTTTTGATCTCTTTTACAATTGCTTTCCCAATGATTTGTGGGGATGAGCACAACATAGGTGAAGTTTTGTTCATGAACCCATACATCTGCAAAACCCTCCTTGTCCTTTTGCCTTTGTCCAAATTTTGTGGTGTCTCCTTTTGTCATTTAAGAGGAAATGGTTTATTTACATTTGAAGCGAGATATTTGATTTATATCTATAAAATCCTGTTACTTTTCCTTCTAGGTATGGCTGCTCCTTGCTGCAGGCAGGATGGTGACAGTGGGAGACAGGAGAAGGCTGATCCATCATTGGAAGGAGTCAAGGAATAAATTAGGAGCCCTCATGTGCCAGGACATGGTGGCATGAGTGACACTGTGATGGACAATGCTGTCACCTGTATCTCTGTCCCTCTGTGAATCCAGGGATCCTGATTTTACAGAGATGCACAGAAACACTTTCCCATTCATTTTCAAGTTGGGAACCTTGTGCCACACCAGAACATGGCATCCCTGACCCTTGGCTGGCATCATCACTGTGCTCTCAGCAAAGAAGCTGCAGGAACTGGGATAGCAGGGAACTGGGATAATTTTCTCAGCATCTTTCCATGGGTGTTTCTGTTTTGTGCTTATTTATGCTCTGGGAAAAAAAGTCTACAAAATGAGTATCTGTTTTTATCTACCAACTCTCACAATTGTGAAACCTGCTGCTAAAATCTCTCCCAGTTTTACTGTCTAAAGCACTCTATTGATGATTATAGAAATTACTGTTATTTTTTCATAATTTCTACTGGTAAACTGCCCAAACCTGTGTTTCAACAGGCCAGACAACATCTTTGGCTGTCACTGTTCTCTCCTGTTTTCACTGCACACAGGTGATGGAGAATCAGGGTGGGTTTTGGGTTGTTATTTTTGGGGTGGTTTTGTTGTTGTTTTTGTTGTTGTTTTGGTTTTGTTTTCTCCTAAATACAAAGGAAAAGTGAAAACTAATTGGGGAATTCAGACATTAAGCAAGTTTTTTGCTGTGGGTGAGCAGAGAGCCAAGGAGTAAATCCCTCTCCCTTGTGCTTGTGTTGTTGGAGTTGGTACAAGTGACTGAAATCCACCAAGACAAGAAGGTGCTGTCCTGGGGAGGGGTTTCAGTCACTGTGAGGATGTCCTGAGTGTGGGGAAGAAGGAGCAGGAGTGGACTGGGCAGGGTTATCCCGAGGCTGCTCACCTTCCTGAGGAAGAGGAGGGTTGGGCTCTGCAGCCTGCGTTTGCTGCTTGGCCATGGGAGGTGGGAGAGCTGAGCAAGGTGTGGGCATTGAGGCCAGGACACCTCAAGAGTGAGAAAAGGAGCTGGGATTTCAAAGGCAGCTGCAGGCAGAGGGAAAGCCCCTGTTTTTTTAAGGAATTAACCTTTGCTCATGAGAAGTTTCAAAGGGGTTTTCTTACAGCATAAGAATGTACATGCCATAAAAAGCATCTGCTTCTGGGGCAAAGCTCTTGCACTACTTGCAGGGCAGGAAAATGATGGTTTTAGTTAATCTGAGCTCTCCCAGAGGATAAATTGTGATGTGTGGGGGTCAGAGATGCTCAGAGTCCCCCTCCCTGCTGCACCTGGGGTGGGGTCTGGTGCTGGTGTCCCCACAGCCATCAGCTGGGTGGCCTGAGAGCCTGGGGTGAGTGTCACAGCCTGGGAAAGCTGGCTCAGCATGACCCACTGCCAGCTTTATTTATCCACTGCATCATTTAGGGGAAGCACCAATAGCTGGGCTTGAGACCAAGCTCTACAGAAAATTCAGCATTAAAGAGGAAAGCAGCAGCACCTGCAGCTGGGAGGGAAGGGAGGGGAAGGCCACAGTGGTGCTGCTGTGCCATTGTGATGCTTTCACACAAAAGCTCATCCCAAGACTGTGTTAGCCCCAGCCCTGGGGACTCTGGACCACCTTCCCCTTGCCCTCCCAGTAGCTGACACGGGGCTGGTGCCTGTGTGGGAGCAGATGTGGGGCTGGGGGTGCACCTGAGAGCAAGTGCTCGCTGCCTGTGCTCAGCAGGATGCCAGATTTCCAGCCCCAGCTCTGCCTTGGCACCCTGGGCAGCAGCTGAGCCTTGTTGCCATCCCTGGGGAGACCCTCCCTGCTTCTGGCATCACTCAAAACTCAGCACCCATGGGCATCACTCAGTGCTCAGCATGCAGGGGTGTCACTCAGGGTTCAGGGCACAGGGGTGTCACCTGGGGCTCAGCACACCCAGGCATCCCTCAGGGCAGTTCCCACTGGCCATGCTGGGCTCAGGGCCAGCCCCTGGGGGCCTCTGTTTGCTCTCAGAGGTGCTGTTGACCTTCAGGCTGTGCCAAGTGTTTGGCCTTGCGTGCATGGCTTTGTCTGGTTTTCCTCTCCCACCCCTGGCTGTTGGCAGTCTCCCATGGGAGAAGACACCCTCCCAGATCTGCTCCTCCTGGAGATTTTGCTCTGCTTTAACTCTTTGCTGGTTGGAGGCCATGGTTCCTTGCTTGCCACACAACTGTGTGGACCAAAAGACACCAGCCTGCAGGACAAAATAACTGAGTGATATTTTCACTTTTGGTGTTGGATAAACCTGCACAGGGTCTTTAAGGTTGCCTCTGGCCCATCCCTGCTGGTTACCCTTAAAGTGTTCATTACCAGATTTTTATCAATCAGTATTAACAGGAGCTAAAAAAGCACCTTTGTGCTGTCCTACAGATGGACACAGAGGAGAGCCAAGGAGCTTTTTCACAGCTTTCCAGCCCATCTGAGTCCCTTTGGTATCGTGGATATTTTCACCCCCAACGGGGGAAGAGAATGATGCATCTGACTCCATCTTATCAGAAGGCTAATTAATTACTTTATTATACTATCTTATTCTATATTATATTACACTGTGTTACATTACATCTTAACTGAATCTGCCAAGCACTCAACTCTGCACACACTGCTCTGAATCTCGTGACTGTCAGCCCACAGTCCCAACACACACACACACACACCTGGCCCTGATAGGCCAAGGAAACAAAACTCCATCACTCTGGATAAACAATCTCCTTATTGCCTTCTACTTTTGCACAAACACAGGCACAGCAAATAAGATAAGAATTGTGTTTTCTTTCTCTGATGTTCAGAGAATGTGAAACCCAGAAATATTCTTGGGAAGAATTGTGCCTTGCTTTTCTCTGCGAAGAGAAATGTGGCGACGCTTTGGTACCAGCCCCTTTCCCCCTGTGCAGAGCCAGCCATGGCATTTGTCCTGCTTAGTGTCCTTTGGGAAGTGCTCAGGATGCTGCAGAATCCAGCTTGGTCCTTTTGCCAGCTGTTGTGTCCAGGAGAATGTTGAAGTCATGCAGGAAAGAAATGTCTCTCCTGTGGTACAAGCCCATGTCTGTCCCCTGCCAGGTCCTTCCTGGTCATGTCCAGGCAGTGCTCAGGCTCCTGCAGGGGAGGGTCTGTGGCTTCTCCCTGCCTGCTGAGGCAGGGAGGGCAGTGGGATTTACTGGGATTTACTGGGATTTACTGGGAATTTACTGGGATTTATTGGGAATTACTGCCTGTGGACGCGAAGCCGCAGCCTCCGCCGCAGACCTGGGAAGAGACAAGAGACAGCGTCCGTCAGTCCTGTGCCCCTGTCCCAGCTGTCCATCCCCTCCTGGGCTGTCCCAGGGCCTGGCCCCCTCAGGAAACTCACGGTGCAGGCGGCAGGCGATGGGGACCAGGCTCAGCAGGAGCAGCAGGACAGCAGCAGCCAGTGGGATCCAGACCAGGGGACTGCAGGCACCTGGGGAGAGGAGAGCACTCAGCACCTGGCACCACCCTGCCCCAGCAGCTTTGGGGATGGAGAAGGGAGGAAAGCAAGGGAGAGAGGTGGTGAGGATGTGACCATCACCCTGGAGTAACCTTTGAAGGATGCACCACAGAACCACAGAATGGGTAAAGGTGGAAGAGAGCCCAGCGGGTCACCTGGGCCAACCTCCCTGCTCAAGCAGGGTCATCCCAGGGCACATGGCACAGGTTTGTGTCCAGGTGGCTTTTGCATATTTTTGATAAGAGAGACTCCACAACCTCTCTGGGCAGCCCGTTCTGGTGTTCAGTCCCCCTCACAGTGAAAAAGGCACTGCAGGGAACTTAGCTCTGAGGTCCTGAGACCCTAAACTGAAATCCATCCTACCCCTAAACCTGTGGATGTCCCAGGGAATCCCTCCCAGAGGCAGAACTCAGCTCTATCCAGGGCAGTGAGTCCATCTGGACCCAGACAGCCACTCCTGCAGGGTGACACTGTGGTGGCCCCCAGCCCAGGACAAACCCCAGCTGAGCCCTGAGGAGCCCAGGAGCTCAGCAAAGCCTTTCCCAGGAGCTGAGACAGAGCCATACCTCCCCTGCTGGCAGCTTTCCTTTTGGTTGTCCGTGGCAGAGGCGTTTTGGACACTGGTGTCTGTGTGGTCTTTGGAGGCAAAGCATCAACTGGGGATAAGGAGAAAAGGAGGATGCTGAGTGTGGCAGAGGGTGCAGAGAGATCTCCAAGAGCAGCCAAGAGAACCAGCCTTGAACCAGCCTCTTGTGCCTTGAACCAGCCCCTAACAGCGACCCCCTCACTCAGAGGGGTGAGCTTGACCTGACCTGAGCCTCTTGGGGCTCACAGAAGTTACCAAGAGCTTTTGAAAGTGTTAATAAAGTAATGTACCAGGTAAAGAAGGCTCATGCAGGGAAAACCCCCCAATTTTCTTCAGTGACATTTGCTGCCAAGCATTAGCTCACCAGAATTGCACAAAGTCATGGGTAGCAGGAGATTTCAGCAGCACTGGAATGCTTTAAGGGATCCCTGGATCTTTTCTTTATTCACATTGCTCTAACCTTTGCTCAACACTTGATTTTTTTTTCCTGATAAAATGAGGGTAGGATTTATTATGGTGTGTCTAAACTACAATGGAACACACTTGTTTCTGAATAAAGTTGGCCAGGAAAATATATCAGTAATGTCATTAAATAGCTGCATGTCTGACTGCTCAAACCATATTTATTCAAAATTTTAGGTGATTGAAAACTATTTTTTCCCTGTAAATTCTTACAGAAACTACCATTCTTTTACATGAAAAGATGAAACATCAGGGCTCTGGGATTTATCTGGACAACTTCTCCCTTAAATTATAATAGACTTAGGGAAAAGAAACTTAAAGACAACTTGTTTTATCATGAGAACTAAAAGGAAAAAACGAAAATATCCAGCCAAGCCTGAGTCTTCCCAGAGCACCTGCTGCTGTTTACTTTTTAATTGGTGTCCTTGATCAAGCTGCATTTCAAGCCTGTTTTTCATGCTTTGCACAGAGATATGTGCCCAGCTGTTAAAAAACAATTCTCCTTTATCTTAAACCAGCTTTTCTCTGAGCCTGCAAGAAACCAAAAGGGATTTCTCATCCAGTTCAAGGTACAGAGTGTATTTGCAAAAAAACCCCAGAAAAACTGGGACACTAGGTCCGCTTTAGAGCCAGAAGTGGCATTTTGCTTAAATAAGTTATTTGTATCTTAGTTAAATAAGTTATTTGTCTCCCTGAAAGTCTGCAAAAATAGAGGCTGAATCCCACTTCAAATACATTCGTTTTTCTGCATCAACTACTGCTCTGTGGTCAAAAGGAAAATAGGCTGAAAAGAGCTTCTGTATGCCCCAGGTGTCTGTAAAGCCTCTCTCCTCCCACGACACCTGCAGAAAAATGTTATTCCTGTTTGGATCTCCCCAGGGACCCTGGGCTGTGGCTTTGAGGAATAAATCCATTTCAGTATTTTTTTTTTGAGGGGGTGGTCTTGAAAGCTGCCATCAGATCCACCCCAGAGATTTCAGGGGTGATGCTCTCTGGCCTCAATGCTGCTCTTGTCACTTGGAGTGAGAGTAAGGGAGAATTATGGGATGGAAGGAGCTGTGAACTGAGCAGGGCACACATCCAGCCTCTCATCCAGACTACAGCAGGGAATGAGAAAAACACAGGGCATGGCAATATCAGGTCCTGCCAATGAAATCCCAGAGCACCAGGAGCAATGCTGTGCTCAAGGCATGCCCACAGCAGAGCAAATGCTGATGGCAAAAGGACTATCACACGAAGCTGACCTAAATTTTAGCCATTTTCTGTATTTTCTGCTTTATCCGGTCTCAGAGACAAAACCCAGAGCCCCAACCTTGCAATTCAAAATTGGGAAGAGTCTACCAAAAGGAATCAGCCCTTTCCCAGGCTCGTCACAGCCTACTGGTGGCACATTTTGGAAGCCCAAGGGTGCTGCTTACCCACTGTGAGCTGTGTCCCAGTGCCCAGGAGGAGCTGGGAGGACTGGGACATGGAGCAGTAGTAGATGCCGCTGTCTGAGGGATGCAGGCCGCTGATGTGCAGGCTGTAGGAGCTCTGGGACCCCGCCTCATGGACACTAAACTTGCCCTTCTCCACATTTTGGCCATATGTGGCTTTGCCCATTGCGTTGGAGAACAACAAGAACTGGAATTGTTGCCTCTCCTGGCTCCAGCGGTACCAGTAGACCCCGGTGTGGTCCTTCTTCAGGTCACAGAGGATTTCAGTTTTATTGCTAGTTTGGGTGAGCATATGCCCTGGAGTTTGGGTTAATAGTAGAGTTGTATAAAAACCTAAGGAAAAAGAGAAATATACAGTTATTATTTTAACCTCATTGTTTTTCTTTTGTGCAAAATACAGATTTTCTTTCTGGGTTCAATAAAATCACAGTAGACACATAGACCAGGGGGGTCACATGAGTGAGAAACAGGAGCATTTTTATCAGGATGCTCCCATATTCCCTCAGAGGCCTTTTTGGGTTCCCCAGCTATTGTTTTGGCCAAGCCAAATTATACAAGCAGATTTTCTCTGTAAACATTCCTATAGGAAGGAGGCTCACTGACAGGGAGAGGGATGGAGGGATGGTTTTGAGGGTCTCCTGGGGGCTGTATGTACAGGGAAGAGCATCCCTGCCTGCCCCTGTGAATGCCCCTCTCCTGCCCTCCTTACCTTTCTCATTTTTCAGACATTTTACTCCTTTTTCAACAAATTTTAGTGCCTCTTAACTGATTTGCCAAATTTTTCTTCTAACAGATACAACACAAACATTTCAGGAGCAGAAAAAGAGACCAAAAACATGCAAAACATGTCAAAATGAACCACTTTGATATTAGTTTTCAGACAATAATATTTTTCAAGGGAATTTTGAGACATGGGGAAGGAGAGGGAGTGAGGGGCAGCGGTGGGGTTCAAAGCTTTGGTTTGGGATCACATCTCCCTGTTTGGGCTTTGCAGCTTGGTGGAAATTATCTGAGTCTTGTTTGGCCCAGGCAGATGTGAGGGGTGTCTGTGAGAGTGAGGATGTGTCCTTGTGGAAAGGATAACAGGTAACTTGTGATCCTTGCAGTTCAGCAAACAGTCCTGTGAAGCTGCAGATACTCTGAGCCCAAGTGAAAAACAGCTCTCTGGAGATAAGGACACTCCTGCTTCCCCCATCTCTTTCCCAGGCATGTTTTGAAGCTGTGCAAAAAGCTCAAAAATACATGTTTCTTGTCTTTTTTTTTACTTTAAAATGTTCCTTTTTCTTCAAAATCCTGAAGTTGCTTAGGGCAGTTTTTTCAGCCTCATGCAGCCCTGTGGTGTGGGGATGGATGGGGACGACCCAAGAACATCTAAAGGCATTAATGTGTCCCAAGGTCCTGATGTCTCCCATGTTCCCAATGGGACAGGCAGAGGAGAGGGCTTTGGTGACTGACAGGGGTCCAGAGCCTTCCTCTGTCCCCACACCAGTGACCCCAGTGCTGCAGAGCACTAACATTGCAATGCCAATATTCCAGTGTTACACAGCAGCTGCAGCGTTTCACCACATCCTCTGGCTCTGTGATAGCATTAATGTCTCTTTTTATTAAAATATATGATTTTAAGGCTTTAGAGAGGTTTAAATTCTCTCAGATTAAGAAAGAATTAAATTTAAGGTTTAAATTCTCTCAGATTTTGTCCTGGCAAACACCTGTGTGGTTTTTTAGGGGATGAAGTGTGTGTGGCCACGGCACATGGGGGCTTCAGGGTCTCCTTGACTGCCCTGAGGTCTGGCTCTGCTGGGTATGGGAAACATAACTCTCCATGAAAAACTTATCCTTGACCTGTTGGAGACACTGCTATATAAATCAGAAAAGATAAGAAGAGATTCTGGAAGACCTCAGCTCAGTGCCAGTGGTCAAGCCAGGAGTGAGCTGGGATGGAGACAGAGAAGAAAACTCATCCTCAGTCATACCTTCAACCCCAAAACCTCTCTGTTCCCTTTCCTGGTGAATATTCAGGGGGACCATGGAGAATCATGGTGTTTGCCCAGACCAGCCTGCAGCAACTTAAAAATTACCCCTTTTCCTTTTGCATGGGGCAAAGCAAACTCCCATTTATTGAGGTATTCTCAGTGGGTTCCACACCTCACAAATCTAGTGGATATCAGAACCTGTAAGGCAGAATGGTTTTACAACACTTCATTGCAGCTGTGGCCCTTGGGAAATACTCAGTCTTTGGATGATTTAGAAAATTTGGGATGTTTGCCATATTTGTGTTACATAGGTAGTGGAGAAAGGAGCTATTTTAACTTCTCCATTAGCAGCTTCCTACAGCCCATCTGCACTGAGGAGTAAAAACTCTGTGGTGTCTCTACCACTATGCATGGAAATATGAATAGAATATAGAATAGAGTAGAATGGAATGGAATAGAATAGCACAGAATAGAATGGACTATTTCAGTTGGAGGGGACCTACAGCAAGCACTTTCTGACCAGTTCAGGGCTGACCAAAACCTAAAGCATGTTATTTATAGAATGATCCAAAACTATTTGAAATAGGTAACAATACCCTGTAGATCTCTACTGTGATGGTATATTTAATCTTCCATCATCCAGCTACTGGAGTGTGGTGGAGGAGAGGCTCCAGCAGGATTTTAGGTGCCCTCAACCCCTAAGAGATGTGTCCCTCTTACCTGGGATCTGGAGGCAGATGCAGAGATGGAGCCATGGCCGGGCCATGGTGGCGGACTCGGTGACAGAGGGGTTTTGTGCCAAATCCCCCTTTCCACTCGCTGTCACCTCTTGGTGGCAGGGCTGGCTTCACCTCAGGAAGTCCTTGCCCCTCTCTGTGCAGATCTCTCACCAGCAGCTGCTAAAGAGCCTCAGCCCGGCAGCTTCTTCTGCGCTGAGCCCCAAATCCAAGAGTCCGTCAGGGCAGCGCCCTTTGCTCTCCTCCAGCACTTCACAGGGCACCTTAAATCCCCTTCAGAAAAATAAAACCAAGAAAACTCACTGCTTTTTAATTTCTTCAGATTTCTTAATATTTCACCACCTAGTTATTCCTTCTTCTTTTAATCTACTCCTATGCTATCAAAAATTTACAAATGGGACCATGGTCTTAAAGATAAAAGAAGGAAAGCATGAATTTTGGCTGTTTTTCTCCCTGTTGAAATAAAAAAGCATTCAAAACAGGGAAAAGATGCAACTTGATCAATTTGTTTCCTTCAGCAGAATTTAGAGCAGGTGTTTTTCTCTGAAAAATGCTGAACACCAGACCAACCCAACATAAAGCAGAGATGTGAAGCATCACAGAAAGCTTTGAAATCAAGAGCAAGAAACCTCAAACAAATTTGTGGCTGAAAAACCACAAAAATGAAGAAATTCTGCTGGGGCTTTCCACCTCAGAGCATGTGCTGCTTCGGTAGCTGTGACAGCATGCAGCTCATAGGCAGAAATATTTAAATTATAAAGTATCAGAATGACTTTGAAATGTCTGGGAGGAAGAGGTTTGAAGCACTTGGGGTTTGGGATTCAAAGACAAGTACAAGAGGTGAAATTATGGAGATGAACTGGTGTCAGCAGACTTCAATATTTTCATGTTTGGGGAAAAAATAGAAATTATTTTTACTTATTTGCTGCTCACTTGGCTGCCAAGTGAGATTCAGTTTTCTTTTCTGTCCCTCTCATGCACATACTTGTGGTCCTTACCATGCTTCAGCATCTCCCCAGAAAAGGAAATCTCACATGGGGGCACTGAGAAACCTCTTCCAGGATTGAGCTGGCAGATGAATAGGAAAAACAATATTGCATCTTGTACACTGTGAGCTTTTGGTCTGTTTTATACCAGATTTTTCCGTGCTGCTGTAACACATCCTCTCCCCATTTCTGTTTAAATTAATTTCCTGCTCGAAGCGGGTTGCTAGCTGCAAAACCCTTGCCACAAAAGGCTCATCTGCTAAACTTTAGGGTGGGCTGAATTGCTCCTTAACTCTTTCCTGGCAGGAGAAGGCAATTTTAGTGTTTTCAAACCCATTTCAGTGCTTTTAAGCTCTTGTTTTCAGAGCTGAGCCCTTGATGTGGGTTGCAGCAACACTTGCCTCTGCTGTCCTCACCTTCTGCTCATCTGTCCCCTTTTGTTTCACATCACCCTGAGATTGGGCCCTCCCTAGAATGAGGTGAAACACTTCTTTTTATTGATGTGGGGTGGCAGGGAGTGCTTGGTATGAGAAATGCCACTGCAAGTGAGTTTTCCCTTCCTCCCTGTGGTGAAGTCTGTGAGGTGAGCCCAAATCCCCAGCTGCTGCAAAGGTTAAATCCCTCTTTTCCCACTGCTGCTGTCGCCTGGAGCAACTTCTGGCTTCCTGGCCAAGACAAGAATTTTTCCCAGAGGTGGCTTTTGCCATCTTTACAACTTTGGATATGGGGGTGTTACACTGGGATGACTCCCCAGGAAATTGAGGCAGCTTTTGAGAAAGCACAAGAAATATATGAAATGTAAAAGCATGGTGTACTGGAATATAGATTAAATATAATTTTTCAAAAATTGCTGTTTATACTCAGTGAAGCTGTTTACCAGTGGCCAAGCTGTTCTCAGGACTGGCTGTTGCTCCTACAAGAAAACATTTTGGAGGAGGGAATTCTTTGTCTGGCAGCAAAGCTCTGACAAAAATCAAAGCAGTGCGTGAACGTGCAGGAGACAGCTGCTGTTTGTAACATCCCCACATTGTTTGGGGCTGCTGTCCTGGGAAGAAAATGGGAGGAAAGAAGGGTGTAAGTTGATCTTATCTGTTCACACAAGCAAGATTTGTTGGTGACCTTGCTGAGGAATAGCAGCTCCTAATCACCAGTGTTTGGCTCATGGCTGGGCCGTGCTGGGGGGAATAGTTGAATTTTTGTGTATTTGTACTACGAAGCTGCACAATTTCCAGGGGAATTTTATTCTTTTTCTGAAATTAAAGACAACCATCCCTGTCCCCAGCCCAGTTATGTCCCCTGTGAACTCATCCTAGTGGGAAACAGCCCCTCTTCTTTTTTCCAGCTTGCATCCTGTCCACCTCACCACGCTGAGACTAATTTCTGGTGCTTTCACCAGATTTTCTGCACTTTTCACTCTTTCTTTTCCCCCCTCTTATGAATTTTCTACAATAAAGTGTTTGTTTTGGGGGGCTGGAACAAAGCATTGGTGTAGAAGAACAGAGTTTAGAGCCAAGAAGCAGGACCTGGCTGGGGTTTCATATCTGTTAAACTCCCATGCTGCAGAGGAGGTTAATTGCAGCTGGGCTGTAAATGCCTGGCTAGAGAAAACAGCTATCACAAAAATAGAGAAAAAAATCATTCTCTCTGTGCTTTTGAGGTTAGAAGGATTGATTTCAGGGGTCAGGGAAGGCTGCTCAGCCTCCAGCACAAGCTGGATGTGCACTATGTAGAAATAGGGGCTGCTCTGGGGGTAAAGGGGTGCAGGATTGAAACTCCCTGGGGCTCCAGCAGCTGTGAACACTTTTTTTCCTTTTAAAATTTTTAAAAAATGGTTTTATTCTAGTGGAGGCTTTAGCTTCTGGAGTATTTCATCAGAGGTAAAAGCAGTAATGAAAATGATAGCATTTTCACTGAGTGAGATGATTGGTACCTTTTTCTGAGTGTAATAGCAGGAAAAAAAATAACCCCAAAACCCCAAAACAAGTGGGTCAACTTTTCTAAACTTCTCTAAGCTAAGATGTGGTTTGTATGGTGAGGCTGGGGGGGGTGTCCATCTGCTTTTGCAGGTGCAGATTTACTGCTGCACTTCAGCTGATGCAATATCACTGTTGAGGCTCCTGACATCTCATGGGCTAACCCCAAGGTCCATGTCAATGTATGATGAGCTGGGGTGTGGCACAGAAAAATGCTGCTTTTAAAGACCAGATGCCAAAATGGATCTAAATGATGATTTATGTGAATTTTCCTGTCATTTCATCCCTCCCTGGCAAATAGATCTGTGCTTGGAGGGTGGTTTGGCAGGAATGTGTTTGTTACAAGTGTCAGGTGTGAGCTTCTTGTGTGATCTGCTCACAAAGCCCAGGTGCTAATGGGGTGTGCAGTAAATGAGGGGGCCATGGGGGGATCTGGAGGGATGGACGGTCAGAGGACAGGCTCCAGCTCTCCCTCTTCAGGACATTTGGTGCAAGCAGGAGTTTAGCGTGAGCCACGATAATCCTGGACCTCCCCTAACAGATAAGGGGCAGTGCAGGTGCTGCCGTGTGATTTCAGTTTCCCTAATCAGTGTCGAAGAGGATAAGGAAAGACAAAGAAAGTGTCCTTGGGAAGGCAGCACACGGAGGAGGAAAAGCCACCAAGGAAGTAAACACAGGTGTCATCAGCCCCAAACAACGACCTGCCATGGCTATAAAAATCACCAGGCTGCCACCTTGTCACCACCTTTACCTTAAAGGTGCCGGATCTGCTGGACCTCTGCAGAGACCATCTCCAAACTCCTGGGACTGCCGGAACGCTCAGCCGAGGATTGGTGAGATCTCATTATTGGGCTCCTACTCCATCTCTCCTTTGCTTCACCTGCTCCCACATCCCTTCCCCGCTCCCTCCCGGGAGCCGGCGGCTCGCAGCAGCTGCCGGCCCGGCCGCGGCCTCCTGTTCCCACCTTCCCCTTCCCTTGTGCCCAGGCTCGGTGTCCCTCCAGGGCCCTTTTTGGAGAGGTGGGTTGCAGGGTTGTAGGATTGTGGCCTTGCTCTGTGGAGGGGCTGAAGGAGTTGTCAGTGCTGGTGTGTTATGGTAGTTTTGCCCTGAGTCGGAGCAGTCTCAGATCTCGTCCCCTTTGCTATGATGAGTGACATTGTTAGCAGTTGGAAGCTGGAGCAGTTTGTGCTCCAGAAGTGTCTCCCCCCAATTTGGTCACCAGGGTCTTTCCAGGGCCCAGATGCTTACCAGCAGCTGTGCCAGCAGTGGGAGAGCTGGTCGGAGGAGAACAAAAAGCCCAAACCCACTAACAAGTGTAAGAAGCGAGCGGCTTTGCAGGGTTTGCTGATGGTAGGCAGGGAGTTGTCCAAATTGCTGAAGGAGGCTCTTGAGAACGTGCAGACCTTGGAGCAGGCCAAGGAGGAGCTCAAAGTGCAGGTGGACAACCTGCGGGCAGAGGTGCAGGGTCTGTGTGGGGACTCTCTGCGGAGCGCGGTGGAGATCACCCGGCTGGAAAGCAAGCTGGGCTATGAGAAGCTGAAAACGGAGGAGCTGAAAAAGGAGGTTGGCAAGTGGATCGGGGAGACCCAGGACGCGCAGAGCGCGGTGAGGGCGGTCCTGCAGGACGTCCAGCGGGACCGGGGCACTGGCCCCGATCACAAGGTGTGCCACGCCAAAATCCAGGAGCTGGAGGCAGAGCTGGGGGTGTCAAGGGGCATCGTGGCTGCCATTAAAGGCAAGAGGACCCAGATTGGGACTGGTGATGGGGAGGACTCCCTGGACCTGCACCCACCCCACTATGATTATGAGGATGATGTGTGGGGTGCTAACAGCCCCACCAGGCCATCCCCCTATGCTCCTCTGCGGGAGGAGGTGTGCCAGCTGCAAGCAGGGGAGGCAGAGGCTTCCAAAGATAAAAAGGTCCCCCACGATGAGCCAGTCAGCCATGTCCCACTCCAGCCCATAGACACCAACAGGGCTGTGCTCTGGTTTACTCCTGAGCAGCTTAAGACAGTGGGGAAGATGCTGGGGCCACTGACAAAGGAGACAGCAATTAACTGGCTGTCCAGGGTCCAGCGTCTGCCCAAGTGCCAGAGTGGCAGCTTTGTGAGTGACCTGATAGACATTGTGAGAAAGTCCATGAAACCAGATGATTTTGCATCACTGCCGGGGGATGTGCAGATGGGCAATGTCCCAGACATTGGGGATGTCCAGCTGGCCGTGCTGAAGGTGTTCTTCCCAGAGGTCAACCCCTTAGTGCTCTTCCACCAGGAGAAGCAAAACCCCGAGGAGAGGCCCGATGCCTATGTTAACCGTAAAAAGATGCTCTACCAGATGGCTGGGCTGCCTGGCTCAAAGGACTTCCCCCCTGATTTTGACAGGCCTGAATTCAAGGAGCCGCTGGTGGTGGGGCTGACACCCCCACTGCGGGTGATTGCTGGTGGGGATGCAGCCAAAAAGCCTCTGTCAGAGCTGGAGCAGATCCTGAACCAGAATTTTGAGCTGCAA